AATAAATGAATTCTCAAGTCGCCAACATCTGGTTTCATGAGCATTACATGCAAAAAAGAAAACATGTATTTCTGTATTGGCAGAGGGAACAGCGAGGTGTATCTGACTGGTTTCTGTGCCTTAGGGATGGGTTCGGTCTGTTAGACCTCAGAAGGCAAATCTCTTTCTCCACGTGAACGATGGGAGCTCCCTGCAGTCATTGCAGGTCGTCGCCAGCTCAGAGTTGGATGACCCGTGAGCACTTTATTTCCTCTACATAATCCTTTTTTAGGTATGAAGGATGCACATAAAAAAAAATTACTCACTGACTCTCGTCCCTTCTTTTTCAATTAAGATTGCTCACACTTGGTAGTGCTGTTGAAGTCACGGGTACTCTTCGGAAAAGCCCACGCCAAAGACAGCCGTTTGAACTGGAAGCAGACCGTATCCACGTAGTTGGAGATTGTGACCCTGTGGTAAGAAAAAAACAAGTTTCTTAGCTGAGACTGTGCTATCTTTGCCTTTATGTTCTAACTTTGTAATGTGGCCATCAAATGGCATTTCATTTACTAATACTGCTTTGAATTGTTGTTTCAGGATTTTCCCTTCAAAATAAAAGAGAGGCACAGCCTTGAGTATATTCGCCAGTTCCCGCACCTCAGGTGTAGAACAAATGCTTTTAGCTCCCTGTTGAGAATACGAAGTGAGGCCACTACAGCGGTTCACTCGTATTTCAAGGTGAGCATCAGTGGAAGAGTTTTTAATGCGCAGTCAGACTTATGTATTTTTTAATTTATTTATTTTTTCTCAGGAAAATGGCTTTGTGCAGATTCACACTCCGGTCATTACCTCAAACGACTGTGAAGGGGCTGGGGAACTCTTTCAGGTTGAGGTGAGTGTGTTACTGTCAATCAAAGCTCTGATATATTGATAAGAATCAATTCCATTCTTTGATACCTCGGAACCTGTTCTTCTACCACAGCCGTCCAGCCCAAACAATGAAGAAGGTGAGAAGTTTTTCTCTGTTCCGGCTTTCCTGACGGTCTCTGGTCAGCTCCATCTGGAAGTGATGTCAGGGTGAGATCAACTACATGAATTAGTCTTCTAGTGATCATGTGGACATAAAAAAAAAAGTAATCTCCTACTTGTAGGTTCTGCATTAGAAAGTAAGACACTGGTTTAATGATGCATTTTCACTCCTCCTCTTCCAGGGCTTTTTCCAGAGTCTACACATTCGGGCCAACTTTTCGCGCAGAGAACTCCCAAAGCAGACGCCACCTGGCAGAGTTTTACATGGTGGAGGCCGAGGTCTCCTTCACACAGTCCTTAGAGGATCTCACCAAGGTACACTGTGTTATTGACCTACAAACACAATGCTGCTCTGCAATATCGATCAAAGTAGCACAATGGTAACTATGGGATGAAATAAATTCCCCTGTGCTAGACTATGAACCAAATGTTTGCTGTTCTTTGTACTTTCATTCTTACTCAAAATTGCTTTACATAGTTGTAGTTCACATTTTGTCCGGCAAAGAAGAAACTATATAACATTAAAGCTCGTCGACGACATCTGACAAAATGCAAACATCACCGACCGGCGAGTCGTTTGCACATGAGGGTCTGGGATGAAGTGGTCTGATTGTCCCACCACATCAACTCCTGTGTGCTGAACATTTTGCACTTTCTCTATGTGACTATAAAAGGTTCCCCCTATGCGCAGTTTGCCACTAAAATATTTAATTATTACACCGGCTCCTTAGGTCATGGAGGACATGTTCAGGTCCGCCACTGAGCATGTCTTGGCTCACTGTGCCGAGGACGTGGATTTGTTTCACAAGCATGTGACTCCTGGACACAGGGTGAGTCCTCAAGGACACTTTGGTGCATAACCCGACTCCTCATGCCAACCGGCCACAAATAAGGGTGAATTCAATGTTCCAACTTGCTTTTTCTTTTCTCCTATTGCGTGTCCATTCCCTCTAAGGACACTGTGGACGCTATGCTGAAGAACAGATTTCCTGTGTAAGTCACTACTTTTCTAAACTGAAAGAAATAAGAAATGGAATGTTTGTCAGCTGATTAAAGTGTTAAAGGACTTTAATGACACTATCACAATGCACTTTTAGGTTGACCTACAGTGAAGCCATTGACATCCTAAACCAAAGTTCCCAGAAATTTGCCTTCCCAACAGATGTAAGATTTTCATCAATTCACCCCCAGATGGATATCTATCTCTACGGTACGTTTCCCCGCTAATACTATTATCCCACAACATCGACCGTGGCTCTTCATTTCTACAGTGGGGTTGTGACCTCCAGACAGAGCACGAGAAGCACCTGGTGAAACACTGCGGCAACATTCCGGTCTTTGTCACTGATTATCCTTATGATCTCAAGCCCTTTTATGCAAGAGACAACCTCGACCATCCCGAGCACACGGTAAGACGTCGTCCCACCGTAAAGAACGCTCACTAAATCAATGATTTAACGCCTTGTTTCCTTTCCTCGTGGTGCCTTGCGGGTTATCCCGGCGTTTTGCTTGTCTCTCTTGACCCCCGACTGTCTTTTGTGCGCAGGCGGCTGCAGTGGATCTTCTGGTGCCGGGTGTTGGAGAGCTGTGTGGGGGCTCGCTGAGAGAGGAGAGGCTGGATCTGCTGAAGGCTCGGCTGGGAGAGTAAGAGAACAAACTCCAGGGCCAATGCCAATATACTACAGCTGTAAAAAATCTGCTCAAATATTAAAGTTTATTTTTATTTTACTTAATGGGATCCAACAATTGCCGCAGTGGCTTTTTAAAATAGAAATCTGTTTTCTCTCACGACCTCGCAGAGCAACAGTGGGCAGGGAAATATAGAAACTTACGAAATCCAAATTCTTCAGTTTAAGCTGCATCTACTATTCATTGACATCAAAAAACATAACGGAATAATTGGTAATAAATCTATTTTACAAATGAAAGAAGATCAAATTTGAAGGTTTTATTGGACTAGGTGTAGACAATAATAAACCTTTGTCACATTAATTTTGGACAGACTGAGGGCCTCAACGCTTTTGCTTTTGTTTCCGCAACGTGTTCGTGCGAGCATGGCGAGGTCCGTACAAACAAGCCGCGCTGAGGTGAAAGCGCAGACTGCTTTTCCATGCATATGCATATAAACGGGAGAGTCTAGGGGAAAGTGGCAGTTTCCCATAAAGACGAGGCAGGGGATGCGTATTTAGGTATTGTGAAGTCTGTACAGAAACCGCCCCATGAAAGCGGGCCCCCATTTTCCGGTGAAAATTCTCCGCCTTTCAAAAGCAGGTGTAAACCAGAATGCAGCTTTTCTGGCAAACGCCTCCTGGTGAAATGTCAGCAGTGGGAATATTGCATTCAGCCGTATCACAGCACATAGCACAATAACACATCAACTTCATCAACTTCATTTTTGCTGTTTTGACGTTGGCTGATCCACAATAGAAAGAAAGAAGGAGTTCCATACACTTCACGTTTATGTGCGGTGTAGTGGGCCGGAGAAAGGCTCTGATGAACTGCAGGTTTCATGAATGTGAACGTAAAGTATCACAGCGATCGCTTTCTGCGGGTTTCCTGTGGCGCTGATAACGCTGCGTTTGCAAATGTACGTACATGAGGCCCTGACTGTCTACTATTCTAAAAAATGCAACGCAACGTCCGCCATTGTTGTTGATGATGTGTTTGTGCTTGGCCCCGCCGCTCTAACGCTGCGGGGAAAGATGAGACGTTACTGTGGCGTAGGACTTGGCTCTGCGCTGGCTCTTTAGCCTGTGGAAAAGCAAACCGGTTCTTTGGAGGCTCGTCAGTTGAACCAACTCCGAACCGGCTCTAGCTCTGGCTCCGAACCAGCACCTGGTTCTTGTTGGTGGAAAAGGGGTATATCAGAACCATCTCCTGAATGATACTGCTGCTAGTGTAATATTAATAGTACATCAGCCCCTGTTTGTAACCCTCATTTAGTCAATTGGGACCAAATCTGAAAATAAAGTATTCTTATTTTTGATCAATATAGGAAACTAATTTTGTAGTGGATTTATTGTAGCCTTTTGAGTTTGTGTTGTGAGGCTCTTACATGAATCATCCTACTTTTCCAGGGCTGGATTAGAAGACACCTACAGCTGGTAAGAAGAAAAATGATTATTTATAAGACCCATCCTTGCACCCTGATTTTAACTTATTTGAATGTATTTGCAGGTATCTGGATCTGAGGCGCTTTGGCTCCGTCCCTCATGGAGGCTTTGGAATGGGATTTGAGCGATTTTTGCAATGCATCCTCGGTGTCGACAACATCAAAGATGTGATTGCGTTCCCCAGATTTTCCCATTCTTGCCCTCTATAAAACCCAATTCAGGCCGAGTAGAAATGTTGAATTCTGTATTTGCTCTCTGTGAAAAATGCAATAAATATTCTATTCATCACGTTTATTGATTTTTTGGCAAACTCCGACAACCATATCTGAGAGGGAGTTTCACTCATCCACGTATTAGTATTAAACACTCCTCAAGATATTGTTTAGTTTCATTAATGTATTTATTTGCCTGTATCGACTTTCATATTTAAAACCAATGTCAGTTTTCAAAGTATTTAAATTTGCCACCAGATGGTGCGTTTCCCCATTCCATCCAATGGAGAAAATGGAAATAACTTACTCACAGCACACATTTACTTTATTATTGAGTTTGTTATTTCCAAGGCGCGCAAAATACCAGCACAAAGAAAGTCCCCACATTATATTAAGCTTTAATGAATACTGCGCTGCGGCGAGGCGTGTAATGCGTGTTTTAATAACACCGAAATCAGAGGCGTCTTCGTATTTGGAATAAATCAGAAATACGTTAACGTTTGCTCAGGTTGAATATATATATATATATATATATATATATATATATATCGTACAGTTCCTCCATTATTATTATTAACACTGGTGTTTGAAGTCGACTTGGTGTCCGGAGCGGTTCCTCCATCCTGTTCATCCCAGCGCGGCCCATCCCTCGCTGGGCTCGGTGGGCGTGGTGTGACTTGGGAAAACAAACTGCAGGCACTCTACGATACTTCCTCACCCCGCGTCGGTTGAGTTTGCCCGCGGCTCCCCGTCAGCTGGTCGTGCGTAATTTCCCCGAGAGTCGAGTTGCGCTTCTTTTTTTTTGTTGTTGTTCCGTCTCCTCCCGTTTTGCGCGCTGGTTTATTGCGCACCGGGAAACGTCTCCGGCCAGACGCACTTTGACTATTACCTACATATATATATATATATATATATATATATATACATATATATATTTTTTGTAATCAAATGGGGGGAGCGGACTGCGCCAGTGGGACCTCGCGGTCTGCACTTTGAACGGGCAGCGCCTTGAGGAGCCTCGAGGAGCCGTCATGTGCTCTCAGTGACAGCGGCGGTGCGGTGCGAGAGGAAACAACACACGCTGACGAACATGAGCGGCGGTGAAATCATCTTCCAGGGCTGGCTGAGGAAGTCCCCGCCGGAGAAAAAGCTCAGAAGATATGTAAGTCAATTGCACTTTGGCGTAGTTTTCTCTGCGTCTGGAATAATCGTGCTGTTGTGCTCTGCACGTCTGCATCTCCGATAAGTTGGGTCAAACTGAGAGTCCCATTGCAGCAGGTGCACCTCGACCCCCACCTTGTGGACCGCTTCTCTCTTTTTAATAACCCGCAGGAGGCACCACGTGTTGTTAGAGGTTCTGAAAAAAAGCATTTGAAGCTATAAATGTATGTTTTACATAAATGAAAAAAGGCAGTTGCCCGGTTCGACATGTCCCCCCCCCCAACACTGTAGGGGCCAACACTGAGGTAAGCCCGTGTAATACCTAGCAGCTGTCTATGGTGTTGACTAGATAGGTCCCAGGCACAAACTGCCATTTGGCTTTATCCGATCATGATGAGGTAACGTCTAATGGAGCATCCAGTCTTCGTGGGCCAGAAGCCGCCGTAGCCTCCTGCTGGGTGCCGGGGCAAAGGGGAAGGGCAACAAAACCCATAATAGGATTTATGGAGGAAGATAGAACCGTGAGACAATCTCCCATAAATACAGCTGTCCGCTGTTTATGTGTGGTGCTGCACTACCGGGCCTTCTCCGCCTTCTTAACTAAGCTGACTTCGCCATGATGTCATCTCTCTCCCTTGTTTTCATCTGGAAATCCATCCTTGAATGTCCTCAAACGTAACCCCCCCCTCTCCACCTCACCTCCATTGTCCTGTCATTTCCTCATTGTCTTCCACTTAAAGCTGGCTAATGTTTACACAGAGACCACCGTGGTCCGTATGGAACGGCAGCTGCAGTGGCACAGAGGAAGAAAACTCGCTTGGTTCATAGCAGTACTGTATAAACAACGGGAAAAAGGCATAATAAAAGCCTCAGGCAGGAGAGCAGGGTTCAGCCTCCCAGGCTTTCTCACCATGCTTCTCACCCTGAGCAATAACCTATAAACACACACACAGTTTCAGCCAGAAAACAGTGTCATGAGATGTAGTGTCCAGAGCATGCAGACTTGTGAATGTGATAATCGGTCCATCTCAAATTCCTTCCACTTAAAGTCAGGCTCTGGACAATCGGGGCCATTTACTCAACAGTATTGCTGTCATCTGACATAGTTGACGTTGTAATGGAGAGGGACATATTCAGATACTGGCAGACATTCCAACCCGTAGGTGTGTTTTCCAAGAAACGCGGTGGCTTGATCATTATATCGGAATGAGCCGAGGTGTTTCAGAGCTGTGACTATCGCATTGAGCGCCGCGGTTTCTTTTTCCTTTTAGGAGATTATTTGCAACAAAGGGAAACATGTTTTAATCCTCAACAACCCTTGTCCTGTGAATATTCCACCGCTTCTACGGCCAAGTCCTTCCTTAACCGGATGGGTCCCGTGTTTTGTTAATCAGTAGTTAGTTGTTGGAATGATTTGTCATAGCATTTATGTGACCTCTCAAAAGTGGTTAAGTCAAAGATACAGGTTTAGGCGGGAGTAAAAACTGGTGCCAGTGCCACGGGTCATGCAAATAGCATGCAAAACCAGGGAGCAAACACACTTGTGGCAGTTGAAGCGTTGAAGCCCGGGTGCAACTCGGGGAGGGGGGGGAAGTGAGACAGGAGACAACACGCCCGTCTTCAGTAACGAGCATATCTAGTCCTGGTTTAATGTTTGCTAATTGTTGTAACTCCATTACTCTCGGCAGTGACTCCTTCTTTCTACAACAGCGCCGTGCTGCACAGGGCTCCAGAGGTGGCCGGTGTTTTAAGCACAGGTGGGTGTGGCCTGGTTGCTTTTGTTGAATGATGTCCAGAGTAAGCAGATGGAACATGAAAACAACTGACCGATCCAGTGCCTCTTGCGGCGTTCTGTTGAGGTTCAAATATGCCTCATCAGTTTAAACCCCAACAACGCCTCATATTTGACCTGTAATCCGTAATCCGATCCCTTCGGGACAACCAATGTTGACACATGCATAAGAAACTCCTCCAAAATGATTCATCACAATGTGAATCATACACGCGGCGTGTCATACTGTAAACGGCCTGACTCCTGTTCCCAGGTCGGGATCATGCCGCTGTAATCACAAACATGTCTGCTCACATACAGTAGAGCATTGCCACATTCCAGACAGATCATATCGACGAGGTGATAGCTTCTGCTTTCTGCCACTGCCGCCGCCTTCTAAGGGTTTTTACCGCCTTGCCCTGGACGGTACATCCGGGAGAAGGACCAAGGGCCGGGGGGTGCGGGGGTCCGTAGGTTTTTCAGGGCCCGGCACAGCAGAGCAGCAGCCGCCTGTGTCCCACTGTCAGCTGCCGGGTGTGCTTTTGTTTTGCAGAGGGGCTTTGGGAAGTCCTTGCCCTCGGAGGTCAACAGAGGACGCCTCCCAGTTCCTGCTTTGACAGACACCCAGCGCTCGCACAGACATTTTCCTTGTTCCACTTCATCTGAGAGCCCCCGAATGGGCCTTTGCCCTAGAGGCTATACGAAACGGCCGTTGCTTTGTGTGACTGCAGCATTAAAGTAGGATTAGTTCACGGTTCTGGGCTTCGCTCGCCAAACGGGATCCTTGTGATCAATTTACATTGCCGGTTCATCTGTTTATTATTTTAACTTCATTGATGCGTTGAGCATCCTGTGGTCAGAAAATAAGTATTCCAGTTGCACAGACGCAAAGGTGACTTCAAATGGCTAATCCTAACATGCAGCATGTCCCCACATTTAAGAAGCTGGAAACGGAACGTCTTAAAGTATGTCTTGTTCGTAACTACTAACACAGTACTTTTTGGATCGACTTCGTAGCTGTTTTAGCAGAAGTCTCTCAGAGATGTTGACGTCCCTGAGAGATGTTGACGGCTGAGCTGGCAGATAACGGCTAACGGCGCTGACCACGCTAACCACGCTAACCGCACGGTGCAAATGATGGCAAAAGTGCTGCTGGAACTTTTTGAGTTTAACCTGTGGGGGGGGTATTGGTGCTACTTTTGCACCGCCGACGTCTCTGGTGACAACGTTTATCAGCTTTGACTGCCATACCAGCGCAATGCAGAGCGGCGGTGAGTGGACTAACCCTAACCCTAACCCTCTCCTGCAGTGGAAGCACACGCGGCTATCTCGACAAAGCGAGGAGGAGCTCAGATAACATCACACACAGAGGGAGACGTCACTCTGCTACATCTTTACATTGCTGCTCTGTTAATGCTCGGAATCCCTTTCATATGGAGAACCTTTTTCTGCTCAAAGCTCACACTTGTTTGACTCAAAATGACACTTTCCTCAACTCTTTTGTCCTCCAGCCCCAAGCGCATCCATTTCTTTCACATTCATTGTGAAAATCTCCGGGTGGCCTTGTGTGAACCTTTGTTATAATATCCTTTCCTTTGCCATGAACTCTGGTTTAGACTATGTTTTCTACCCAAAACGTAATTATTGCACCACTAGCAGATGTCCCACTTCCTTTGGCTGGTACCTACAGGATGTCCCATCAGGCCTCTATCAGCTGAGCTGAAAAGTTTGCTGCTCTGAAGGAAATTACATCCCATTGATTTTTCCCTTGTGATTTGGACCAGGAGTAGGAATGTTTGAACCTACTTTCTGCACTCTCATAAAGTTCCCTATCGCGGAGGTGACGCTTTTATTTAATGGTGCTTAAAACTCTAACACACCTCAGTGTACCATTACACTGTTCCACTGTCAGGTCTTTCCCCTTCAATAGATATTTAGTTTCTTCACTGTTGCTTGGATTCACACATAAAGTCACAGAGGGATCATGCTTGCTCCGGTATTTGCTGGTAGCTTACATGTCACATGGTTGCCATTAGATTGACCTTCTGTAGCAAATGGGCTTTGCAGTTATGATGTCGGTCAGTAAAAATACTTTTCGGGCCTCCAATTCTGCAGAGCATCGTAGAGAGACATAAAAGTGAGAATAATAAGAAAGGAAAAAGTAGATTATGCTCAAAAGTATGAGTTGCACTGCTGGCATCTGAGTTATTTAGCGTGAGATGCTCACTTTGGTGTTGCAGTTTGTGACCACTGAAAAAGAAAAAAGTTGACAGCTATTTCTATTTACCCAGGGACAGTTGACTTAGCATACTTGCTCTTCTTGACCGGCGCCCTGCTTCACAGTCAAAAGAGCCGCTAAAGTCTCGCCTTTTCGACGCCCCTTGAAAACTTCAGCATATTGTAGATGCACCATTGAAGCAGCTGGTACGGTGCAGAAAACTTTATTTAACTAAACATGTTTTCATTTTTGAATGCAATGATGCGCATTACTCTACATCACTTCAGCCACCCATGCAAATAACCAAAGTGAATTTCGTTGAAATAGGAAGTGGTCTGTGTTTTCCCCTAACAAAGATGTTTTCTAAACACAAAAACAAGTTCCGGGAAATAGAGAGAGAGCTATTTTATTCATACTTACTGAAAACATGTTGATGTTGCATGGGAAGTATGATTTCTATAAAACGTGAATATTGTTGTGCTTATTGATAAATTGTGGACAACAACTTTTTAATCATTGACACATTGGGATTCTGATGCCACTCATAACAAGGCGGAAGAGGGAATATAGAGCCGGTTATACCGTATAATGAGTAAATAATAATAATATAAAATGAAACAGAATAAAGAATAAAATTCATAAACCGAAACATTTTCTCATTTCATAATAAAACTAGTGAGATTAGTGTGACAGTCAGAACAATCCAGGGAAGGTATGTCAGGAAAAAAATAATACAAGAAGAAAGATCTTTGTTGGGATTATTACCAGGGGAGCCTTTGACACGCTGTTCTTAAGGGAAGCGGGTGTTGACGGTCACTTTGGCCTTCATTTTAACCAGCAATGACCACCGTAGGACCTGTGGAGGCATCCTGGCATCTTATTACTGTCAGCTGTAAATATGCCCAAACAAGTGTTCAAATGGTTTGTCTCTGTTTCATGTGAAACACAATAGTTTGTAGTAGCTGGAAATATGAAACCAAGGTGAACTTGTGGTATGAGGGCTAATATCGCA